AAGATGAAATTCCGTTTCGTCTCTTCTGTGGACGCAACGAAGTTCCTCTTCAATCCACATTTTCCTGCCTGATTATCGTTTACGTGTTTACCGACGGGAAACTTAGTTTCGCATGTTTTTTCTTCGTCTCCTATTTTTTTTGCTGCCTTTCACGTGCTTCAGGGGGTTCCTTGAAGCTGGGAGTGCGATTAATCTTCGACGTTATTACCGCCAGCCGACTGGTGTCGATAAGTGACGTCGACGTCGTTCGTCGAGCATGTTTTTCTTCTCACGCACCGCCAGGCTTCTGTAGAGACAAGCCGGTGTCGTTTATAAGCGCTGCGTAATTGATCCCGAATGTTTTCGCAATCTATTTTTGGAACAATTTTCAAGTCTCTCTCAACGTATCAAGGTTTGGTGTATTTCCCCGAATAAGTGCGGATTCTGCGAGGTTTGGTCTCGGTGCTAACGAACTCGTCGTGAAAGCACTCAAACGAGAGCTCAACTTCAGATAACTTTTATTGACTGGAAGTATATTTTAAGGTGTGAGTGTTCTTGGAAATTGAGCTGCTTTTCGGTAGAAATGAATGCAGATACTCTGGGAACTTTATCGAACATAGAATGTCAAATTCGAGGATTGATGGACGTCGCAAAATCTGGAGGTTGTTCATAGAAGGCATCTTATTTCAGTTCGAAGTATTCTTAAAAAGTCATCCCTAATAACTTCCCTGCACTGTAAGGTATCAACATATTTCAAGCTGAACATACATAATTTGAGTATGTCAAAACAAGAGGGATATTCTCGTAATTCGAGAAAGAAAGAAAAAGATTGCGCCATTTCTTGCAAAAAATCCTCATTCGTAATAGTTTTCTTAGTCCTCTTTATTGTGATGTAACTTTCCATTCATTGAGGTGATGTTCTATTTGGTGGTGATCCTGCTGCAGTCATTAAAAATGAATGAATGAAGAAACTATTCCTTGTGGGTCATCGAAAAATATAATTAGGCTAGGATTTTTCTTGTTTACCATCTTTTTTCCCAGTATTTATGGCTTATGATAAAAAAATCGCATCTTTTTGAGTTCTTGAGCATCTTCGCGATCAACACTCAGCGAATTTTCTAATAATTTGACGTTATGAAAAATATATTACAGTTCAGGGTTTCTACAAAATAGTTTAAGATTGAGAGCATCGAAAAAGAACGCTCAGAGAACAGAAGATGATGTAAATGGAAACGAACACTTTGAAGTGTGAAAGACGAACGAGAAATCAGTTTCACGAAGAGGAAGGTGTTGAGAAAAAAAAAAATCTTCTTGGCGATGTGCAGTATTTGAAATATGGCACATGCATGTATCAAAATAGGAACGACTGATAAGAAGACAAACGAATTTTTTTATGAATGCAAGTCCATCAAATGTCGCATGATGTTCGCATAAATTTCTCCACTCGTTCTTGAAGAATGCGATTTACTTTCTTACTCAAGGCCAATGCATTTTAGAGGTTGAATTACTGAGAAATGCGATACGCTGAAAATTTTTTTTTACTCGGATGAAACAAGGTTGAAACTCTCTACATTTCCTCGTAAGTACTGTGTATATTCTATTCATTTTTGCAGAATTTATCCGCCGTTCGACTGTTCTTCAGCATGACTCAAAGGCATTTTTTGCCGTTTTTTTTGGAACACATGCGGAAACTGTACTTTTGCTGTCAGTTAAATTGTGATCAAGAGTTTTTTTTGGTTATTGTATGAACTTACAACTTCAATTTCTGTAGTACAGCATAATTTAGGAGTGTATTAGCGGGAGGTGGTGAAAAATTCCGACGTGGAGAAAAATGTATAAACTCAAGAATTTCTTGAAGGAGTACTGGAAGGAACGTGTCTTTCTTTTGATGATTATTACTTTCGAAAACTGCTGCGGAAGTACTTTACAGTACTGTACTGTTTTTAAAAATCATTCTTGGTTTTCATTCCAGACCATATCTTTTTTCCGTGTTACATTCGGAAAGTTAGTATGGTTCCAATTCCCTTTTCTGCGTTGCCTAAAAAAAAACGTGAATCTTTTCTGAAGCCGTAGTTGGATTTTCTTTGTTTTTGCTCTCTGAATCATGGAATCTCTATAATCCAGACTGCGTGTTACAATTAGAAGGATGGTTGGGTTTCAATTCGCTTTTCCGCGTAGATTTGCGAAAAACGTGGATCTTTTAGCAATTTTCTTTTTTGGTCCTTCGAATTACCGTAGCTCTCGATAGTTTTTGTTGTTGCCTGTATCCCTTAGATGTTATTTTTTCTATTATTGGAGTATCCTTTTTTTTTTTTTTGGTGAAGTGCATATCCGCGTTCTTCGTGAGAATCCCGCTGAGAAAATGGCGAGTCGTTTTCAGCTCCGCGCTAGAGACGAGTGAAACTAGCGTATTTCCGTTCGGAGAACACGTATATCCCATCGCAGTATTACTCCGCTCGACATCAGGAAGCGCCGTGTGGTGTCTCAAATTGAATCCGTGCCCTGGTTATGCGTCACGTTTTGGAAAGTTGGATGCTTGGAGTGGAGGCGAAAGATATAAAAAAAAATAATAATATGAGAGTGAGATCTTCATTTTTTTATTTTCGGGAGGGGTTGCATGGGACGAGCGGGTTGCTACACTTCCTCCAGTGTCAAATTGAATTCGCCTGCCAGTGCGCTTTGTAGTTTCTTTCTTTATTTCTTTCAAAGAACTTTGGATCTCCTTCGAGTACAATATCTAATTTTCCGAAGCTGAATGAACAACCGTAAAGCGTCTGCTGCACTGAGAACGATAAACCAATAACTTGAGAGATGTGCACCCTGCGATTCTGGGTTATTTTCGCTTGAACACCGGATGCCGTCAACTCCACTTCTTCATCTTTTTGAATAGGTGTCGTCTGCATTTATTTTTTTCAATTTTAGCTGGGTATTATGGTAAGGTTGGGTTAGGACAAGGGCTGCCAAAATTAGATGTGGCCGAAGGGCAAAATTGCAGAGATGGAGCTGGTGCTTGCGTGCCGAATACCCACGATTACAATGATTTATATCTCACATAGCAGATATTTTATGCATTCAAATTTCAAAGCATCATCGGCTTGTGGGAAACTTGTCCATGGCAAATTTATCTTCAAGAGGCTCAACATTTCCCGTTTAAATGCAAAGGTTCGAATTCAATTCGGTTCTATGCACTGAATCACAAATACGATGCATAACCTTGCAGACATTTTTGCAAGCTTTTGCAATTTCCGAATACATTTTCCAATAAATTCTGAATAGTGGCTGCTGTCATCTTTGAAATTGTGAGCAAAGGACCGCCGAACGGATGAAGCCTCTCTGCGGGCCGGATATTGGACAGCACTGCATCAGGTTCTATTTTTCCTTTGGTCGAATAAATAGGCTTATCTTCCTGTCGGTCTGGACTGCGACTCGGGTGACACCTGCTTTACAGGAAGCGAAATGATCTACGCTTAAATGAACAAAAATGTAGCGCTTTATCGATTTCTATGAAGTCGTATTGCCGAATCAAACTTGCGCAAAAATATTATGCCGCATACCTGCTTGAACAATATTTAAAAATGTTTTGGCATCGTCAGTCAGTTTTTTTTTATTAGTTTACAGTACTTCGATGGACTGTGTCCGAATTGAAATCTTCTCAAAATTCTTTTTCTGAAATCACAGTATGTATTGCCGGAAAAAGTATGTTCTTTCGGGAAGGATATTTTTGAAACAAATAAGAGATGGGAGAACGTGATGCCAGTTCTGCGAGCGGATCCTTGACAAATTGCAGCCGTGTGAAAAAATAGCGCACGAATTTCCTGGAGTAAAAATAGAGAAAAACATTTCCAGGAAATCGCAAAGAAATTGTTAATTTTAGTAGGGAGGTTTCTTCAAAAAGTTATTGTTGCTGTGAAAGCTGATCATTTTTATGTTGATGACACAATACACGTGACTCGACAACGAGATCGCCGCTAATCGTAGTAATGTTGTCCAAGAAAAAGCGAAGTTATTTATATGCATCACGTGTAATTTAAGGTAATTTGTTAATTAATTTTAAATTTTCGGACCCTCGGAACGCCGTACTCAGCAGGTATGCTTATTTCAGTGGTCGAATTGTATGCTTTCCGACCATTGCCCAGCCGTGTCAGTATACTGAAACGCAATTACAGAAACTTCTGGAATGCTCATTTTCGTGGGTGGGTTTCCGGTTTTATGTATTTCTCTTAGCACCGTATTGCGCCTGAAGTCGGTGACACATTCTCGAGGAGTAGCGAACTGTCGACGGGTCGCGAATCTACCCACGTTAAGCGGAGTAAAAAAAAATCGAAATAAAAAAAGAAGAAAAAAACATGAAAAAAATCTTGACTCCAAACGATTCCCCGGTTTTATTCCTGTTTACCTTGGGTCGTATCCAGGGTTCCCTGACACTTCCGTCTTGGCGACTGTCTGACTTTCTTTCATTTTTTTCTATTTTTGGTTGAATTTAAGGCCCTTTTTATTAAATTGTATTCAAGTGAAAAGAAAAAGAAATGGCTTCATACGAGTGAGCGCTGGTTTTGAACGTTTTGTCGGTATTTAGTCAAATAAGACGAGCAATTTGATTAAAGATAGATTTGTTCAAGTTAGGCCTTATATGCTCACAAAAGTGGGTTTTAATTTCAGGTCTCTTGTTCCATTTTCATCCTGGATCAACGAACATTTGATCACTCACCAGTTTATGACAAATATCACTCGAAGAATCACGCCCTCCATTCATGCAGTATTCCGAAAAATGAAGTAAAAGACCTTTTAAACCTATTTTTTATGTTCTTCGCGTAGAGATGTTTGATTTAGACTTCAAAAAAAAAAATTAGCAAGTTAAATGTTCACAACGAACCGATGAAAGAATCAGTGGAAAAGAATGCGATTACGCCATGAAATGCTTGGGAAATTGAGTAATCCGGCTTTGCATATTTCGGAAACATGAAGAAATCGTTGTTGCGTAGTTTGAACTTTAGCGATAAAATTTATTGAGGATCCAATTTTATAGAGGATTACATGAAGCGTCTGCTGACAAGAACTTCTTCTGCCCATAGCAAATGCTTTCGTGTCCCCTTGAGAGCATCTACAATATTTCAAACTCGAGAGTTTTTTAAGGACTCTTCACGAATGTCTGTGTAGAGTTCTTGTGAGTAGTACGTTTTCATGCATTTTCCTTCGACGAGAACATTCATGTAGGAAAATATATATATTTTTTTACAAAAGAGAGACAAAAGGTGTGTGGGTGTAAAATTAGACATTAGGGTGTGGTTTCGGTTCCTACTAGCTAGAGTAATTTATTCAACAGACGTTTATTGACTGATGAAGTGTTCGTTCGAGTTCTGCACAAGGTCGAAAAAATAATTTTCCATCAACTGTTCGACATTTTTGACGCATTATTCCGAAAATTCAAGAGGTTTCGTTTTTTTCAAATACGAATACAGTACTGTACAAGGATATAAGTTTTCAACACTTTTTTCTTCTTTTTCAAACGTAAAAGCGCCCCTTTTAAAGAACCTTTCACTTGCAAACTTTTTCATGATTCATGTACTCTACTTCAATTATTTCTACTTGAAGTCATCGATGGAGATGCTTTGGCTCAATTTTTAGATTTTATGGCTGTTCAGAGGCCCTCGAGGGAATCGTGATCGATCACGAACTCAGAAATTACGCGAATTGAAGAGGTCAGGGTTGCTATCGGAGCCGTTTTTTACAGCACTTTTTTCTTCCATGCCTTGCATAAATTACGGTGCGCGAAAATGAAAAAAAATACAAAAAATTCTCCGTATTTTTTGCACTAGAAAAATTTGATAATCAATGCCTCAATGCCCCGCTTTCATTACCACGGAGTAAAAAAAATACAAGTGAGTATATTCATGTTGGTGGAACAGCGCTCGTCAAAACCCTAGCTGCACGAGTCCCGAACAGGATTTCAGCACTGAAACTGAAATTTTTCGAAGACCTCAATCTTGCCATGTGTCACGAAAATCCGCGCTGATTTCTCCGCAGCAGGAATTGCGAATCGGGTTAGCCGTGATTGGGAGTCGCCGTCGCTTATCTGGCAAGACGTCAGCAGCGCGATCAAACCGGAACCATACGAGGGGAGGGTACTAAAGTTTCCACACTAGTTGGCTTGATATTTTAGTGCAAGACATAATATGTTTTATGTGTGGTGGTAGAAGATGATGAATGAAATGCAGTATGTAAAGTAAAAACACAGTTGAAAAAAAATGTTTCAAGAAGATTTCAACCCGAAGAAAATTTTCATGAGCAATACTAGGATTTTCGGCGTTCGTGTCGGACATTTTTCGAAAGGAAATTGATGGAACCTTTGATTTATTTTCGAAATGTTGAAGAATTAGTTCCTCTTATTTCAATTCTAAAGGTTCTGCGTACCAGTCTGATGACGTAGTGTATTCGAGAGAAAATTGATGAAACCATTTATTTCTTTTTGAAATGTTGGAGGATGCATTTTTCAGATATTAATGCTTTATTTGAATAAATGTTTTAGTCATAAAAAGAAAAGCATCTGAAATTCATTTTTTGTGAAATACTATCAACTCGGCGTTCCGGTCTCTCATTTTCAAAATAAAATAATTAAAAGAACATAGTCTTTTTTCGGAATGATGCAGATCTCATTTCCTGTAGAATTTCAATTCAACTCAATAAAAACGGGTTTAAAGGAAAATGTCTATCCTACTGAACACACAAACAATTTAATTTTTTTCACTGGAACGAACACGGAAACTTCAATACATTGCGATCTGATGATAATACTTTTGTGATGGGATCCTCACTTCAAATATTGCACAAAAATGTACCGAAGTTAAGTTAGTCGTCGAATGTTCTCGAAAGTATGTTTTCCACACTATTTTCGCAAAGTAACGAGATAAAGAAGGAATCCAGAACAAAAACGCTTTTGGACAGTATTCAAGGCCCTACGTTTTTTTCGCCATTTCGGGATGGAAATACGAAGTAATATTGTTGCAGTATTTCTGTAACGAATGAAAATCTCATCTGCTTAAGCTATCCTTTAAATTAATTCGATTGAATCGCCTCCAGAAGAAGGAATCGATTTTGAACTACTGAACAACAGTTTCGAATTCTCATTCACCCTGAGGGCGTCATAGGATTCACAGAGGGTTCTTTACATCACATAGCATCTGATATTTTTTTTAAATGGTGGATCACTATTTTTCAACAATTAAAGAAATGACGGAACACTGCATTAAAGTATACCGTAAAATGTGAGATGAAACCAGAAATTACGGGTAATTTATTTTTTAATGAGACGTAAAAATTCTAAATCGTCCCTATGCTGAGTAAATATTTTTATTTTCATTTATTGTCTGAATAAAATGTCAGCCAAAGCGCGGAAACTTTAGTATTTCACTACTTTTCCGTTCCCTGCTCAGCTCGTAATGAAGGAGTCGGCGAAGTGAGTGAGGATGTGCTCGTGGGGGACATGAAAAAAGGATCTCCGAAGAAGGACGAGCAGAGAAATGGGATAAGGCGTGAGGATGACTCGGGGGATCCTATTGATTCCTCTCGGCATCCGACGTCACCGTCGTTGTCGGTGTCGTCTCATTCACCAAAGTCTCTTTTCTTCGCTGGGCGTTACATGTTGATTGGCCGGGTCACGAGTCTTTTCCTCTCTCTCTCCAGCAGAATTTCCAAGCCTTATTGTGAGAAATATTTGAAAAAAAGGGCAGGAATTATCGTATTTAGAATAAGGAGCCTATAGGAAGAACTCTGGGTAGGCCCATAACCTTGAGTATATGCGGCTTTTACTCCGAGTGCAGTAATTTTGACACTTATGGAATATTAGCTCAAAACCACGCTTTTATTGGTGGCTCACGTCCTGATCATGTGAACATGCAGTGATTTTAAATCATGGCTGCATGAGAATTTCCAATTTTCCCCCATTTTTTCCAATCAAATTGACGATGTTCCATATTTTTGGTTTTTAGTCCACGCATTATCCGCCAAAAGCATTTCAGCTGATGAAGTCTTGAATTAAAAATTCTCTACAAATAAGTGCGAGCGACTCGACTCAAATGAACTTGAACAAACCGACTTGTTTTTTTTTGCCATACTTTAATAGAAACTGAGGAGCAACGAAGTACTTTCGGTGGCTGGTATGTTTTATATATTGATGAAAAAAATACTTATACGGCAGCAAAACAGTCATGGAATGTCTGGTACACGTTCTCTCGATGGATCGATGGATGAGAAGACAGAGCTTGGGAGAAATCCATCCATCGAACCATCCGCGTTGCGAAGTATAATCAGACCCTGTGAGATTTTGGTACCGGCATTATACCTGTCCCAGAAAGTTCCTCTTTTCTTCCGAAGAAGATGAATTTCGGCACAAAGGAAAGTGTAGGTCGATTTCTTTTTCTGTTCGAGAATCAAACTGTTCCAGAGAGATATAAGAAAAAAATTTTCGAGCTTGAGAATTTTGTCAGAAAGATAACACAGCAGTCAGCCAGTTTCCCAGCCTGTCTCCGTTTTTTTAGGGGCTGCAATTTAACGAAGATATTTGTATTTTGAGAAGTAGTTGACAAGACTAGGGAACAATCCCAAAGAACTTGATTTTGACAAACGAATGCACTCCAAGATTGACTTCGGACTCGAACCAAACGCTCGAAAAGCAGAAAACGGAATGTCAATCATGTGGATTTTCCCCCATTTTTATAATTTTGAAACCCTTTTTCTCAACGTTTTCTCCCAATTTTTTATTTCCTCGAGATTTTTCCGGGTCAATACCCAAAGGGTTTGACTGTGCAGTCGAACCTCTTCAAGTCTTATTTGAAGTGACCAGCGAAAAATTCGAGTTATGGAGGTTTCAAGTCAGGAGACAACCATTTTTGTGGAGTAAAAAAAGAAAAGAATTACTGCATATGAAATTTTAATTGGTGATATCCTGGGCCTCATATTACCCTTTTGGCTGTTTTTAATAGCCAAAATGGTCCAGAAAATTGCTGGTTAGGGAGGGGGGGAGAAACCTTCGAGTTGGAGAGGTTTTTAATGCAATATTTTCGAGTGAATTCAGACGGAGACTTGAAAAAAATTAACAAGAAGGGGGGCTATTCAACTTAGAGAGGTTCGAGTGATATCGACGATCAATTGTATCAAGAATCGAAATTTATTTATATTTTATTTCGACAGCGTGACGGCGAGGATCAAGGTGCAGGACGTGAACGAACACGCCCCGGAATTCACGCAGGCCTCCTACAAGGTGGAGGCGGAAGAAGGAAGACTGTACCCAGAGCTCCTGACAGTGACTGCTGCCGACAGCGACTGTTCTCCCAAGTTTGGTGACGTCTGCAAGTACGAGATCCTCAACGACGATGCCCCCTTCATCATCAACAGCGAGGGTACGTTTTATCCTTGAGATGCTTTCATTTTCTTGCATTCCTTTTTTTCCCTCCCGTCTCAAATTCCGGAATTGTTTTCGCGAAATATTCGAAGAGGGGTCCTGGGTTGTCTGAGCTTGTTTTTTTCTTTCTCCCCTTCTTTCTATTGATCCCTGTTGAACCCGATAGGGTTTCGGAAGGTGGAACATGACCAGATGCTAGAGCTGTTTTATTTTATTTTTTGGATTGGTGGTCAACGGTCTGCTCCCCGTGATTAGAGATGATTATGCATGAACGGAAATTCGCTTAAGAGTACTGCGTGATTGTGAAAAAAATATATATACAGGTTTAAAATCATGTGTCGAGCACTGGTCAGATTTTAGCACATTCACAGAGAAGTAAAGAGAAGACTAATGATTTAAGTGGAACTGTGTCTCTTGTACGGAGGACAGGTTTATACCCGTCACATTTTCATCTTTCATTGATTAGCAGTTTATTAAAAGGTTTCGTGAGCATGGCACATACTAAAAATTACATCAAGGATGTTGCATATTTGCATAAACTCTCGATAAACTATACTCGCGTATTTCATCATTGAACAGGTTATTTCATATAGTTCTACCAATCATTATTGTAGCAACAACAACAAATATAAAACTTTTTTTGAGGGTAATGATGTAGCCATTTTTCAGTTCACTGTTTTTGGCAATTTCGGTGTTGTAAATGGTGAATGTGAGGATCGCCCTAAAATGTTCACGTGTTCACCAAACGATGAAAATCAAGTTGTTTTAGGTTAGGGTTATAATTGAAAGGGAATGCTTCAAAATTTGAAAAAAAAAGCTTTAGGCTTTGTTGTGTACAGTATATTCCCGAGTGGTTATCAGGATTCCGACTTGATCACCTGAAAAACTTGCCGACGATTTTTAATCATTTTGAAATTCTTGGATTCAAAAGTCTGAAACTTTAAAGCAATTTTAACGGCCTGAACGAAGGTTGGCTTGACAAGCTCTTTTTTGCTGAGTGAAGAAATTTCGTCTAGAAATATTTCGAGTTACTGACGAGAATTAGGAACCAACTGTGTATTATTAATTTCCTGAATTGCGAAGGACAAAATGCGTCGAAGAAACCGGGGGAAATATTGGTGTTGTTATGTAATTCAAATTATGCTTCGCTTGTTCTAAATGCTGATTAAATACTTGAGCGCTGCATCGTTTCATCGAAATGCATGTGTAGATCTCGACTAAATAGGTTTAAGTTTCCCTGGATGAATATCATTCAATGATCCGCCAAGAAGATCCTTTCTTCAGTATTCCGTAAGTAATTACATGATGACTGCAAGTGTGATCATCATGTGCGCGAAATCTTCTTCGTGAGAGACTAAGAATGTGTGGGAATAAATCCTTCGTGTCGAGACGCCTGAGAATATCTACGGCTTTAGTGGTACAAGTTCGTTCCTATTTTTTTTATTCATTTTTTGTCTCATGCACGAATAACATTCAATTCGGATCAGGCATTCCCGAAATAAAAAAGGAGGAGGAGATTTTCCGGGAGATTTCCATTTTTCTGTGACGAAACGCTTGTATCTGTGGGATAATCGAGATGGGATCCAGCAGAGTGGTTCGATATGCTATTGAGTTATTCTCGAAATTCTACTTCTGAAAGTGTGGACATTTTTTTCCAGCCCGAAAAACAAGGCGCATATTTGTATGAATATGAAGATCAAAACAGCTCAGTTATCTCTCTCTCTCTCCTTTTCTTTGCTTCCACGGATTTCCCTCTAAAAAAAAAGGAGTATTATTTATTTGAGCATTTAAGGTCGGAATTTCAATATGTATTGGTGCAGATTATGTTGATCCCGTAGATGTTTATCAAGTCGAGAAAAGGGAGCTTCAGCATTCGAATTCTTATGCATTCATGTGTGTTTTCCATTACACGAAAGATGTGGTAGAATTCGATGTACCGTCGTTGCTGGGATGAAATTTGCTTCCACTTTTCAAGTGGATGAATGTTTGTTGTAGCGGGGAAATTGGATTTCGAGGTGGTGAGGGTAAATTGAATGTCCGTATCCAGTTTTGAAGTGGATGTAGGATGTAGGTATTTCTTTGCTGGTTTCAACAAGGTACTAACCTTCACTGTCAGACATTTTAAAATTATTCCTTGAGACTGCTGAATTTTTAAAGAATATATTACTCAATCTCTTTCGGAAAATTTCCCGGGCTTATTGAAATGCTCAATTTTGAGTCGAAGATTGTCGCTGTAAACGGAAGGCTTATTTTTGTCGAACTTCATCGAAGGAAAAGGTTTAACGCAGAATTTCAACGTTTCAGAGTGAAGTGACGAATGTTTTATTTTATTTTTTTGAAAACAAAATGAATCTTCTTCCGCTTTTTATGATACAGTATTATCCTCCTCGTCATCAAAGAATTACTTGCTTGAACTACGGAATAAACGGGTGAATTTTTCGGGAAGAATAAAATTAATTTCGGAATTTTTCATTAACTCATTAAAATGCTCCGGTATTTTATTTCGAAGAAGATGGTGATGAAGTGAATGTTGCCTGCTAAAACATCTGAAACATAAAGTAAACGAGCTGGTGATACATCACTGACTTGTTAAGTGAATTTGAGACCGAGGAAAAAAGATTAAAAAAGAATTTGGATTTATGCTTCTCGTCAAATTTAAATTTCCAGGCTGAAAATATAGAATGCCCGAATGAATTTGGTTGTAAAAATTAAACTGTCCTCAGAAGTTTTCCTAGTTTCCTCGAAAGTTTTTTTTTCATTTCCGTGAAGATGGCGATAAAGTTAAGCCCTTCTACTAAAATGTCTTCAAAAATAAATAAAATCTTCGTATAGGACAATACTGACATGTGAGAGTGCGGAAGTAAATTTGAAAAAGCTTGAAAACAAAAGCGATTTTACATTGGTTTTTGAAGTTATGTCCTGAAATTTCCTAAAATTGACCAAGTAGAAAAGAATGAAATACTGACAATGGAGAGTGAAGTACAGTACATTGTACAAAATAATGAAAATAGAAACAATTTGCCAGTGCTTTCGAGATGACGCCCGAAAATTTCCTTGAATCATATACAGAGGGCCTAAAATTAAAATGATCAATCTTTCTTGAAATTCCACGTAGACTCTTAGAAAATCGTTTCGAGTTTACTCTTCCGTAGGACGTGGCGACGAACGGAGGTTTTTTTTTCTGTGGCAAACTGTTTTGCAGAAGAAAAAAAAGAATGGGGAAACTATCGGGTTCCGTACGGTTATCTAAAATGGCTGCACTTTTGCGGTTGGGATGGAATACCTTGGAAAAGAGATCAACTCGTTTCTCTTTTCCCACTTTGGATGCGATTTCTGTGGAAGTTGGCTTCAGCTACTCGGTTGAGCTGGGCGGAACTTTTTGGAAAATAGCTGCACTTTGAGTGCATCAGTCAACCGGAACCGCCAGCGTTCCAACTGCGTTTCGGTTCAGCAGTTGAGAAATGTTCCGTGCGAGCATTTTTCTTTTTCTTTTCAAATTCCGTGCTAGTACCTCTGTTAGTATTCTAAACTGTTTTTCCTTTCGAGTTGAAACATTATTTTATCGCTTTTCTTCTGTACTCCTTTTAAGTAAAAGTTCGAGCAACGATGCAGTCTCCGCATAAAATCTTAGGCAAGTAAAAGGACAAAAGTAGCCTTCTGCTCACTCCGACAAACACCCAGTCTTAAAGGATGTCGCGTAAAATAAATGCGTGTTTTTTTCAAATTTTCTTAATTATAATCTGTGTGGTGCTTTCCGAGAGAAAACTTTGCCGACTTCAACTCGAGTGAAGTATTCGCTTTGTTCAAAAAGTTTTCGAGGTTGAATCATGCGTCATCCGTAAGAATGATTGGGACTCAAGTTTTCGTTGGAAGACCCCATTTTCAATATGTAAGCCTCAGGAAAAACAAAATTGATGAAAAACGGTTGAAGTTCATGCCGCAGTTTCAAATGGATGCTGGAATTCGTGAATTTTGTTCTTCCGGTCAGGAAAGTTTAAATTGCTGCGAAAGGAAATATGTGTACGCCGTTATTTTTTACTGTTGAAGCCAAGATTTTGGATAAGATACGTTCCAGCAATATGGGAGTTATGTTTTTATCTGCCACGATGATTCCCCAAAAATGTAGTGGCAAGACACGTTATTTTGTACATATATATATACTATATATGTGATGATGTCCTCGGGTATTTTCTTCATATTCTGGGACAAGTGCCGGAGTTAATCTTGAATGCTTTTGATATATCCGTGCGTCATCGCCTGACAGCGACGTAGGAAGGGATAAGATTTCCTGTCATATTTTCTGTCAGTTATTGTTCCTTCTGGATGGCCGAGGGGATTTTCCTAAGTATACTACATGTTGGTCTGAAAAAAAATAGCATTTTCCTTAAAGAGCATATAGTGATATGTTTACGAGAAAATAATTTGNTTACAAGAAAATAATTTGCCAACAATACCTGGTTCGTCCGTGACGTAGTTTTCGACGCTAAACATAAACTTTCTTTTCTGTGATCGTTTGTTTTTAGCTTTGCGAAAGTGATGAATAATCGTGTCTCACCTATTATTTTTTATCCCGACATTACTTGTCAAAATCATCGGAGTGGTTGATTAATTAGGCGTGTTTATTCGCGTAAACGTCTTCGAATGTATGAATTAGACGCTGAACTAAAGTACCTACTATACACTATATGTCCGAAACAGTGAATTAAAATTCATTATAAAAATCTTCCTCTTCGTTTCACCAGAGATACTTCGAAAGTATGGCAGGCCTAGAATATTCTGTTTCAGAATTACAATACTTCACATAATTTAGTTCAAATTTCCCACAAAACGTTAGTCTTGAGATATTTTGAAAACCAGGAATTGCAATACGAATAATTTGTCATGATGACGAATTTCATCAGGTCTCTGCGAGTTCGTTTTGACGAGATTTTCCTGTATTTTTTATGAACATATTTTCCTACAGGTATTAGACAAGATTTATTTTTTGTATGTAACTTCTACGAATTGTTCCTTCGCATAAAACTATGCTGTACAAGTGTACGACAGTTGTGCTTTAAGTACAAGAAAACTTGGTCAAAAACCCTGGTTCGCGTGGAATAGAAATTCACCAAATCTGCAAGGACAGGCGAATATCTTCTATCGTGAACCGGTGGCGCGTGTCAATCGTTTATTCTCGACAGCGAAAAAAGGCAAAAAAAAAAAAAAAACTCAGATGTATCAGTTTAGGTAAAGTTTCCGCCGTCGCTTTCCTGAGAAAATTTCGAACCGAACTTCTCAATATCCTGTTTTCCAGATGACAACTGACGTGTCTGTTTCTTACAGCAGTATAGGAGTGAAAATGATTGCTCTGGAATGTACAGTAAATCGAATTCATGAACTTGAAAGAACAACCCCAAAATCACGAAAAATATTGCATTGCAAATTTCTTTTCGTTCTGTTACTCTTTACGAATGATTGGATTGATGTTCTGTTTTTTTTTTATTTCAGGTATTTTGAAGAACACAGAGCCATTGAACTACGAGCGAAGCCACAACCACATCCTGAGTGTCGTCGCTTATGACTGTGGAATGCGTCGATCTGAACCAGTTATGGTCAATATCAAAGTCAACCGTGTTTGTCACATTGGATGGAAAGGTGAGACGATTTTAATGATCTTTTTCTTCTTTCATCTCAATTCGGAATACCGTATTTCGCGATATGTTTGGGGGGTATTTCACAGTTTCGCAATGATGGTGGTTGAATTGAATCTGCATCATCGATCTCGAAGAATATAACGCGTGCAATTTCTCTTCCGGATTATTTTTTCAGAGCCTGAAAATAAAACTGTGTTTTTGAGGTCCTCATACATTGAACGTAATTTTTGCAAGCCCTAAGCTCGTTGTGCGGTTGGTTTTTCATACGAATCACGGTTTCCCATAGACTTCTATGAGAAATCATTCAATTCGTTCCGAAAATTTCCAAAAAATTGTTTTGTTTCTATCCAACCAAATTTTGAGTACTTCTTGAGCATAAACCTCCTACATTGAATTCAATAAACCTATAATTCAACCTTATCTGAACATTCTCGATTTAAAAACTTTTTAAAAATTCTTTCATTTGTTTCCGGATACTCATTTTAAAGCCTAAAAATAAAATTCTGTCGGGTTTTCACCATCTGAAAGGGCTTGTAATTTACTTTCTGTTATTGTTCGAAATAAGCCGGTGGCATTTCGGGGGATAGTGATTCAAAACTCGGCTACGAATGCATGTGAACTTAAAGAGAAGTTTATAGTCAAAAGGGGAAAACTGTCTCGCCGAGAAAACTAATTTCAGGGTTGTGCGTTTGGTATGAAGGAATCTCTCTTAATGGAAAAGGCCAGCTTTGTTGGTGTAATAAGATTTTCTAGGCCTGAGCGAGCTCGATCGCAATCTAGATTGCTTTGGATTATGCTGAATTAAGCCCCCTTTCTTCGAGGTAAAATGTGCGGGATGAGCGAGAGATCGATGCTCGAAACTTTTAAGCAATTCGCGGTTCTCAAAGTGTGCGTTGAAGCACTTCCGGTGTATCCGGAAGTTTTGTAATTGGCTGGCTGACATGGTTGGAAAATTTCGGATGCTAGCGAAGCGACCGGATCCTCATTTTCAATCTGCTCATCTTGCCTGATATTTACTTATTATAATGCAGTGCAGGAAGTTTAATTCGGAGTGGCTGATCAGGAAATTTGAACAATACTTAGCCTTGAATGACTTCAAGTATGTCTCATACGAAGAGGAAATTGAAGCTCATTTGATTTTCTTTTGAGTGATATCCACTTTCGTGATTTCAGGTGTATTACAGTAAAAATCTTTAGTAACTATTCTCGTTACAACGACTTCCTTCGTTAGAATGAATTTTTTCTTGGTCCCAGCCGTTTCTCCAGAATATGCGCCATTTTATAAAAATATCGTTCAACAAACTCACTTTATGCTGCAACACAACATTTAACTTCGAACAGTCGAGTCACGCAAAAGTTATATGCGATTTAGAACTTCAGTTATTTTACAGGTTTTTCGTAAGATTTTTTTGTAAAGAATTTATCTAAAACTCATGAAAAATGGAGCAAGAAAATAGGAAATACTTTTTGCAGCGTCAAAATTCCGGTTCTCCTTTCTCCTCACTTCGGCGCAGCTTTTGTTGCGAAAAATTTTACTCTCTCCTCTTCAAGAAGTAGAATAATGCATTTTCAAGCTGGAATTAAAAGGTTTGCTAGAGACCATAGGATGAAATCTGATGCTGAAAGGAAAGCCTCGTGGAAAACCAGAATGAGGCTCGGTTTCACAAACTTTACCCTCTGCTCTGCAAATAACGTGCTTGCTCATCACAGTCGGCGGGCATAGTTTATGGACATGAATAATGAGGATGGGAAATTGAAGTCGTTTGCCTGTATTTGGGCCGCAGTCTTCAGCAGATTCTGCTCCAGGCAGATAATGTGACGGAAATGGACTCGGGGGCACTCGGAAAATATGATCCCGAATACGTTTACTCGGGTGTGTTTGAATGCCCTTTGGATGGGTGGAATGAAACTCGCCGCGTAAATTGTAGAGAGAAATAGCTTGTCTTGAACGACGGGATTTGTCTTTGAAAATCTTATTCGCTGCCTGTGTGTCATTGATTTTTGTTTTTTTTTTATTCCGTCGAAAAAAAAATTATGATCTGCTGATATCCCGGAAATGTGCAGGGAATCCAGTTTGAGACTCCTTTTCGAATATGAACGACGACATTTGTTGATATTTTCCAAGTTTTTCGAGATAATTGGACGACGGGATTTGCCTTTGAAAATATTATTCGCTGCCTGTGTGTCATTGATATATATTTTTTTTTGGATTTCGTCGAAAAAAACGATGATCTGCTGATATCCCGGAAATATGCAGGGAATCCAGTTTGAGACTCCTTTTCGAATATGAACGACGACATTTGTTGATATTTTCCAATTTTTTCGAGATAATTGGATATTATCCAAGCTCAAACGATGTCTTTTTTGCATCGGTTGACGTAGGCATGAAAAATATCTCTAGTCAAAAACAGGGTTATAAGCGTTTTTTGAATGCATTATTCTGGCATTGAGTAAAGAACCTAAAATCTTTCAGTAGCTGGTTTGTTGCTCAAAACGTTCGTTATTCAAGTCAGGGTTTCCCATCGTTACCTCTAGGAAATGAATAGATTCGTTTCAACCAGTTTTTTTAAACTATGGTAAAAGGAGAGAAACTTGTTTAAAAATGAACAATAAAAAAAGAGCCGTGACTAATAATTTTAAAGTATTAGTTGCGTCTAAACGGAGAGCAGAAAATACATTAAAACGAACTTTTAATTGTAATTCGCCTTCCAATTTCCCGTGGAATGATATACTGATTTCAAAAAATTACATTATGCAAATACAGTATTTTGATTCAATTTATTAACTTTTTCCAAGATATTTTTTCTGTGGACTTTAGGTTTTTTTCCTCTGAATCGTCCTCTCGTGAAATTTAAATACAGGTATTCATTTAAAAATTGAAATGTTCAAATTGTTATAAAAAAAATTTCACGGGGTTTTCAGTTGAATTGAGGTTTGTTTCTCAAGTCAAGTTCGTTGGCCAAGGCAAAATGGCCATATGTGGGTTCATTATGTAAAAAGTTCGCTTCATAGGGGCGTTTGTTCTTCGAGGACCTGCTGTATCAGAAGTCATCACAACTTCCAGAATTCCGATGGAAAATTAAAATAAATTACAGTATATATATTCGTAGATTCTGTTTGGGTCGGCAGGTTCATTTTTGTTTTACAATTGGGATTTCTTGGGTCGTGCGATGAAATATATTTCGCTTCCGCATCTGGCGCCTGCTTCATTTGAGCAAAGTGATTCAAAACCATCTACTCATCTACTGTTCAATGGTTTCATTTTGTTCATTTGAATATTCAGGGTACTGATAATGTTCGGGAACGTGTGCCACTATTGATATCTTCAGTTTCTCGTCGTCGCCGTCGTCGTCATCAGCATGATCAATGAATTAACATCAACGAGCCAACTGCAATAATTCTCAGCTAACAAAGAGAAGAAGCTCTTGACCTTCTGGGCGTCGCTTATCTTTCCTCCACTTGCCGACTAGTTGGAGCAAGACTTGGAACATCCTCTGCCCGATTGATTGCTTTTCATCCCCGGGATCCCGGATCCCCGTCCTCGAGAGTAAAGGGCAAAGACAGGGGGAGTTCGGGATCCTCTTGGGCTCCTTGTGCCCCTTGGCAAAGTAATAGGATCAGTGCGACGTTGGGGGGAAAGAGAAAGAGAGAGAGAGAGAGGAAGGAAGATCCAAGCTACTGATTTTCCGCTGTAGGCAATCAAAGGCAGTGCGTGACAAACAAGAAGTCCCGACTGGATTTTCTTGCGGCGAGGATCGGAATTTCTGGAGAATGAGGAGCCTGTCCGAAGCAGCACTTTTGAGTCTTGTGTCCATTAGCTCTCGACGATAGTTGGGATTGGGGAGGGGGTCTGGGTTCGAAGTCTGAGCTGATACTCTTTTGGGGATGAGAAGGGAAACAGACGCGGGTCGAAAATTCCAGTGGTGATTTTTTTCTTTCTTTCTTCTATATCTTGTATCTCTTTGATGTTCGTATTATACCAGTTATTTACTCGAGTACCAAATGAACATTTTTTTTTATCGAATTTGAGAGGAAAAAGGGGGCTTCGTGTCATTTGCGGGTACTGTATAACATTTTTCACGAAAGTCATAAATTTCGGTGTTCATTATACAGTACATGGTTTTCAAGAGAAATTTCGGACTAAGCTTTAAAAAAAGAAAGAAATGGAGGAACACTTTTCAATGAATGTTGTTCTCGAATTCAGCCCATCTCGATCCTAATTCAAGCATTTTTACGAATATGCTGAATTATGTAATATTCGTAAGAAAGCCGTGCAAAGGCAGGACTTTATGCCAATGAGATCGCGTTTTTATTTACACTGTACTTATTTTCAAATGAATTCTAATTCGAGGAGATATTCTCGCAAGCTGTTCTTCTTTTTTATGGACTGGACGAATCAGTACCGAGAAATCGTAAATTTCAAGATAAAAAATGAAGTTGTCGGCGTGTATCTCTTTTGGGGTATTTTTGAGTTAAAAGAAACGATGGCTATTTTGTGGATTGAAATTATTCGGGGGATGTATAAGTTTCTGGCATACGACGAAAGAATTTGCCAAAACTTCACGAATCAAAAACTGACGTCACTCCGTCTAACTTTTTTCTGGAAGAGTGATCGTTCCCTCAACCTAGGATCGATACTTTTCAACGGGAAACATTTGTGAACATTTTTACGGTGTCCCATTATAGCTTCTGAAGGAGACCTGTTCGCATAGTTGGTCCGAAAGGAAATTGAAGTTGTGGGACGTCCATTAGCTGCAGCTGTGTGAGATGTGGCCTGGAGTTCAGTCGATACCTGCCATATACTGTATAGAGACACAATTCTTGAAGGTTTTTTTCTTTTCTTCCTATTTTTATTTGTCTTTCTTCCCCGTGGGGGTTTGTTCCTCCTTTGTCTCCCGGCATTGTTACTGTTCCCTGTCGATTTCTCTTCCATGGAAGAAGATCCGCACTGCGACGAACAGGAGGAAGGATGTGGGGACTTTCATGGTGGGGTAACATCGTGGAACTTGCTTCATGCCAGGGGAATATAGAAAAAAAAATCTGTTGTCCTGTAAATTACTTTCAGGTGTTTGAATATAAAACTTTAGACATCTCCAAAGTGTTTTACTCGTAGAAATTTACCATTGTATGTTCCTCAGTAATTAAGAGACAATTTCTTTTACAAGGATATTTATCATTCCTTTAAAAGAATAGTATTTTCTTTTATTTTTGTTAGCAATTTGTGCTTTCCTGCTCTGAAGTGATTAAAATGTCATTGAGTGGATTTGGGTTGGGTGAGAAGGGGGGTTTGGTTGTGGAAATCTTGAGTGAACCTTGTGAATGCTGAAAAGCGGAAAATAAAGTGTTCTGTTCATTCATTCAAATCCTGAATGTGACTGGCTGGATCTTGTAGCATGAGTGGAAGCTGTAACAAATTACAAAACATGCATCCAAGTGGTTCAACACATCATCCTCCCAGGATGAAGAGATTGGTGCAATTGATGGATTGCGTGATAGCAGCCATTTTTCAGAAAATCAGTGGGTTTTTTAAATACAGTAGTACAGTAATAGAATTCATTACAGGTAGGTCTGACGCGGACATTTTTTACAGTCATTAATTGTCAAAATCTGAGTAAAAC